GAACGTGGAGGGGGTTTGGGCTGCTTATTATCCGTATTGGATATATAAGGTAGATATTTATCTATCACGAAATTCGTGCATTAGTAAATAGTGGATTTCTCGTTGCTTTTTTTTTTCTATTTTACGGCGTTTTTTTGTTGTTGTTGCTGTTGTTGCTGTTGGAAGAGGGAACGGGGGAATTGTGGAGATGAGGGTGGTAAACGGAGAAGCGAATAAGGGTGAAAAAAAGTAACACCAACCGTCAGGTAAACTTTTTTTCTTTGGTTTTCCACTGTATAGACACTGGGTATATTTTGGTTTCAAAAGACGGTCAATTTATAATCTATAAAAGTCGTCCCCACTACTACCGCCCCATTACTTTACTATCACTTCCTTCTGACTGCTACTGTTTTTTTTCTACTTGATATTGTTTTTTTTTTATAATTCTACTAATCTTTAAGCCACTTTTAACGTCAAATAAAAAAAAGCTGCATATGGTTTAATTGTCTATAGTTGCACATTTTATTTTCTTTTTCCCTTCCTTCTTTTGCTGGCTTATAAAACTGGTCGACTATCTTTAATTTGCGAATAATAACAGCAACAAAAACAAAATTATTAATTGGGTCTTCTTTTACGATAACAATGAATATCCATCACAGAACAAAGGTTTAAAAGGAGAAGATTGAAGAAGTCATTGCAATTGTAGATTGAAGGAGAGAATGTTGGATAAGTTACTTTAATTTAGAAAATTTAAAAAATGGAAAAGAAAATTAACTTTGATTTTAATTTTTGGGGTTTCAATGTTGAGAATTCTGAGAGTGGATGAGAGAGGAAAGACTTCAAACAACGATTGATACAGTAGTCGCAAACTGTGATATTATGGTGATAAAAGCTTTGCGAATTAGTAAAAAACAAACATGCTAACACAATTTTAGCTTTTAAAAGATTTATTAGGGCATACAAGAAACCAATTTTTTTCCTTTTTTATTAAGCACCGAGGGTTTTTGTTTTTGGAGGAAACGGAAAAAGCGGGAAGAGGATGAGGAAAGGGAGTTCAGGGAGAGACAAGAATTTCAGTGGAATTCATCCCACTGTTTGTTATACTGAGTCTTAGAAACAAAGCTGTTCTGTGCTGCTACTAATTCGTCGTATACGATTTAGTTTAGCTTAGAACGGACGGGGAAAAAACAAATAAAAGATAAAATGAAAAAAAGCAGCAGCAGCAGCAGCAATATCTACCAAAAATAAAAAGAAGCAAGGAACGAAAAACCTAAATAAACTGTGGTTGAATGACCGCCGTTTATTCCCAAATTTTTTCGCTATAATTCCTATCTTTTTTTTTT